GTTGTTACTTGTTACCTGGATTATTGACAATGAACCTTGGTGTTTATATCTTACTCTTCCGTCAACTTTAATGTGGCCCGAATCGCAACGTGCACCCCCTCAAATGTTATATCAAAATGACCGGCTCAGCACTGAGATGTGTGCTATTGCATTTATTGGTCTTTTGAGTTACCATGGCAAAGTAATTTGCAAACAAAAACACAATTTTTATTAGTTATTTTTCATACACACTTTTTGCAAATCAAATATCCAAGATGGCCACCTGAGCTACAAAGGAAAAAGTATTGTAAGTCTGCCATTTTTAGAGATATTAAGCTGAAATTGGGTGTGATAGTAGCTGAGACCAATGCTCCATAAATAATGAATAAAAAAAAAAAAATTCAAGATGGTCACCAAAGCTACATTTAAATGTCTTTACCTCAGCTATTTTTACACATAAAAAGCTGAAATTTTGTGTGGTTATAGCTGAGAATGTTCCCCACCACTTACTGAATACTATTCAAAAGTCCAAAATGGCCACCATAGCTTAAAATTAAAAAAACGACTCTAACTCATTGATATTTGGCCATTTTAAGTTGAAATTTGATATGATGGTAGCTGAGAGCGAACCCTAACACATAAAACTGTCAATCAAAGTTTTAAAATGGTCGCCCCCTAGCAGTTCTCGTCAAAGTTTCACCAGGAACTTTCTAGTTTTAAAATATTGTTTCAAAGAGGCCACAATTTGTAATTGATTTTTATTATTTACCGGTACTTGTTCTCATTCAAGTCCTTTTTCCTGACCATTTCACATTTAGTTTAACTTTTGTTCATGTTGTAAGGGCACTTATGACCAGTTGTTAGGCTGAAAGTCTTCCTTTTGCATGTAAACAATTACTTTGGGCTGTCACCAGAAAACTGTTTGATCCACAATGAGAAGGTGCTGCTTATCCACCTTGTTCCTTGTTCCATGGTGCCTTGCGTGAATTATGGGAGCAACTTCCAACACGAACCAGAACTGCCTTTTTCTGTGCAAACAGTACGAGCTAATGCAGTTTCTCCAAGAGTTGTGGATTTAATTTAAACATGTGGGAACACCACCTGTCAGAGCTCAAACAGGACAATATAATCATATCGCTGCCTACTGCTGATGAGGGATCAGAGGACGACCTGAAGAAGTGGCTGCAGATTACATTTAGTTGCATCTTTAGCTATTTCATTAACTCTATTGCTTCTGACAGTGAAGCGATGAACAACCTGAAAAGCTCTGAGGCATTTTATTATCTACACAGTAATAAGGTTGGTCATATCCTGATGCATGCTCAATAATCCAGGTAGAAATATCTAAAAAAGACCCAGACCCAGACCAGTGGTCATTCCATATGTTGAGGGAGTATCAGAGAAACTGAGACGTTTATTTTCTAAACACAACGTCCCAGTGGCTTTTAAACCCCAAAATACATTACGGCAAGACTGGTTTATCCCAAAGATCCAGTCCCCCGGCACAAACAGAGCAATGTTGTGTATGCTGTTCAGTGTTAGGAAGGCTGTGATCAGTCTTACATCAGGGAAACTAAACAGCCACTGGCCAAAAGGATGGCCCAGCACAGAAGATCAACATCATCAGGCCAGGATTCTGCGGTCTACACTCATCTCCAGGCCAGTGGTCACTCTTTCGGGGATGAAGATGTGCACATCCTGGACAGAGAGGAACGATGGTTTGAGAGAGGAGTAAAGGAGGCCATCTTTGTGAAAAGAAATCGTCCATCATTAAACAGGGGTGGAGGCCTCCGGGTTCAACTGTCCCCCTCTTACAATGCTGTTATTGCTAGTATCACTCAGCCCTCTGTGAATAGTAAACAGACATCAGTGTGCTAATGATCCATTGTTAGGCTGATGGTCCTTCTTGAGCATGTGATCAGCTGGTTTTGGTTGTCAGCAGCAAACTGGTTGATCCACTCTGAGAAGGTGCTATTTAAGAGACTGAGCTGAACACAGCACCTCAGACTGAGGAAGTCTCTCGGATGAGAGACGAAACGTTTCTACACTTTTTTGTTGTTTTGCTTTGTTTTGTATTTTTTTGAATGTCCAGAGGACCAGATTTAAGTTTTTTAGAAGGTGGGTCATGTTTTGTTAAAAGGGGTGGAACACAACCTTATTTAACTTAAAGCAGACAAAGAGCCCATCCAAAGCCTTAAAGTCCTTCATCACAGAGCTTGGGTTAATTGCAGGAAAAAAAAATCATAATACTAATGACGAATAAATACTACAACACTGTGTCCTCTGTACACTTGAAATCATATCTGATATTTTTGTCACTGTTTTCAATCCTTCTGAGGATCCTGCGTCTCTTCTCACGTGGTTTATTGTAGTCCAGACACAAAGTAGGATGCAGGTTTTCCTCCGTCGGCTGTTTGTCAACAAAGTGAAATGAGCGCACATAGAGTTTTGGGTGGTCTCTTCAAATTCAGATTTTTTAGCCACATTCTTAATTCCTCATCTGTAGGTAGGCGATGCAAACTATACTACTTTTCACAGGAACACATTTTTGTGATAGCTGGACATGGGCACCAGTGACCCCTGTGACCTGAAAAGGAAGAATCAGGTAAAAGATACTGGATGGATGGATGGGTCCGTATTCAAAACACCGTTGTTGTAGCCACTGATTTAGTTTGTTCTGGTTGTTCTTGTAGCCACAAACAGCACAACAGGTACCTGAACTCTGCAAGGCTATTTTAGTAAACTTTCTTCTTCTTCTTCTTTCGGCTTCTCCCTTCTTCAGGCGTCGCCACAGCAAACTAAGTCGCACGAAGACTTGGCAGTTATTTTTACGCTGGATGCCCTTCCTGACGCAACCACAGACCACCGAGCTACCACAGCCCTCTGTGTGGAGCAGAGAGCTGCTGTCTAGGACACCCAGAGGAGCAGATGGTGGGGGTTAAGGCCTTGCTCAAGGGCCCAGAGTGGGACGAATGAGGGTGGGGGCAGATGTGGGTGCTTCACCTACCCCACCCACATTTTTGATGTTGTCGATACCAGGGCTTGAACTGGCGATCTTCCGATCACAGACCCACCTTCTCTAACCTCTGCGCCACCACTCCCCTATTTTAGTAAACTTTATGGTTGTTAAATAAATTTAAAAACAAAAACAGTATTTTATCTGCTAAACTGAATGCAAATTACTTTCAAATAAACCACAGTCCGTGCTCCCCTACCATGATTAACCAATGCTTACTACTATTTTCTGTCTGACAGGAAGTTGTACCCATAATCATTTAAACAGTAGAACCCCCCAGTAGTAAGGTGGATAAGACTGAGTTTGTTTACAACTCCTCAGACTGAAGAAGTCCTTTGGATAAAAGACAAAACCTTTCAACACCAAGAATCCATCCAGAGGACCTGACTTAATCTTGTTCGATTTGTTGAAGAGATTCTTACTGTATATAAAATAGCCATTTTGTATGGGTTAATGTTGATTAGCTTTGATGGCTTTCTTCAATTTGGTTGACAACAAAAATTAAAACAGTAGACTATAAATGTGCATCCAATCATTTGTTTCAGTTTCAATTAAATCTGCTATTATTGGCCTTGAAATATGTGTTGGAGATAATGCTACACCACAAGCTCAATCATTGAAAAATTGATTTGATTTACAGCCATTTGTGTGTTTACTATGGTCAGCTGGCTGTGGTGGCTATCTTGAACAGGGTTGACTCGAAAAGTGAATTACTGTAGTTGCAGATGTGCAGTGTGAATATTCTCACTCATCCAGGTCATATTTAATCCAGATTTTTTTTTAAACAAAAACTGAACTTCTGAAAGTTTCATTAAAGCTTTTTCTGTCATTCATGAGAAACAGGCAAAGGCACACACAACCATGTGCACACACACAAACATTTTCTGAACTTGTGTTTGTAATGAGCTTTTTATTCCAAAGCACATATAATGGAGTTAATTACATTTAGCATGAAAAAACAGCATAACTATCATTTATTTTTGTACAAAAATGAGACAATACAAAAATACTAATATTGACTTTCATACAATTGAGGTTGTACTTCTTTAAATGCATTTTAAAAATTAAAACTATAAAAATCTACAATAGTTCATTGAGATACAAAAAAAATCTGTCAATCTATGCTTTTTAAGCAGCATTTTGTAAAGAACACAGGTCTGTGATAATAGTGGATAACATCAAAACATGTTAAGAAACAGTATTTTACAGAGTTATGTTTTAGTGATTTATACATTATTTATATATTTATAGTAAAAAGGAAAGTGAAAACGGTTTTGTGAAATGATAGGACGGACTATACGGTCAAAAAGACGTGCAACAAGGTTGTGTGTTGTTGAATGAGAATATCTGAGAAGGCTGCGGAGAAAACAGATCTCTGTAATGTTTGGCTGTTAGTGATTATACAGGGCAGCCGGTAAACATACAAGGCTAAATGATGCTCCTTAGAAAATATAATAATAAAAAAAAATCCACAGTTTTTAAAACGTTCACCTGCTCTGCCACAGTGACATACAAGGACACACACAGTCAAACACACACACACTTGGCACAACTGATAGTGTGTGTGTGTTTGATTTAAAACATACAGGATCTGTTCGCAGGGCACAAAGCTGCTGCACATGCAAACATAAAATTGAACACACAAATTGTTTACACACATACAAGCACGCACGCACACGCACACATTGAGAGACAAACATCCGTTGCCAATGAGTAATTCGGTGGGTGAGAGCCCCTCTGTGCCAGCAGAAAGAGCCCAAATCATCCTGAAAAATGTGCCAGCTTAGCTGTAAGTCATTACCACAGAGACAGACCACACCTTTCATTCTGATTCCTGGCTGAGGAACAGAACGATGGCTCCAGTTTCTGTTAGGGGTGTGGCACAGCCACACCTATGGTACAGGTGCTGGGAGGCTGGGAGGTCTGCCTCCTCTGTTTTTTCTAAAGATGGCAACCCAACCCACCCCTACCCCACCCCCTAACCTCAAGAACTGCAACATCCCGGACTTAGGCTGCACTGAAAGTCTCCTTCCAAAAAGTTGACATACTGATCTGGAGTCAGTAAGGCTGCAGGGTTTGAATTGTGTCCTAAAGGCCAAACAGGATCTGATTTCTAAAATAGACCCAAGGTGAGGGCTTTTATTGCACTGTTCTCCTTCATGTCTCTATTTTGTGTTGTCAGAAATGTCAAGATTTATTTTCAGTCAAACATCCCAGGCAGCGAGTGGTGATAGGACAACAAAGTTAAAAACAGTGCTCTATAAGTTAGTTACATGGTTTTTTTTTTCATCTAGCTAATGTTTTATGCTAACTACTGCAGTGAAATCCTTCCCTCGGCTAAGGAAGTTGTCCTGCAGCAATCCAAGGCCACAGAGAGATAAGAGAAGCATTCGCTCCCCTCAGGCAGGGGTTTGTCTTAGTGATGTCCTATTAGATTTTCTACATGAGTGTTTCTCATTTTTGCACTTCCACTTCGGTCAAACCTCTACACCTCTAGCTCGGCCTGCCAAGTCATTAGTTTCTTCAGTAATTTGTCTTACGGCTCCCTAATTCGTTTGCTGCTTGTGCTCAAACAGATGGGCTCAAATGTTGATTAGTAGTTATTAGCAAATAATACGTCAGGATTGTAAAAGTGGACTCTGCTGTGCAAATCTCAAATCTGACACCCTAGTCTGCAAAAATGCCTCTCTGGGCACTGTAAGGAGGAGGATGCCATTTAAGAAGCAGCTACAGTCTCTTGTCGCTACATTCTACTGTCCGATGGGGTGGGGAAGGAGGTGAGCCATGCTATGATAGATTGCTCAGTCACAGGAAGGAGGTGTGGCCTCCCTTACGCCATGTTGTGGTGATTGTTCCTCTCGATGATGTCGGATGAAGGGAGCAGCTCCTTTTTGATCGGAGAAGGCGGAGGCGTGGCCAGCTTCACCCTGGGCTTGAACAGGTCGGACACAAAGAACACCTGGTGCACAAAAAAATAGAAGACCACACAAAAAAAGCGTTTATAGCAAAACAATTGATCACTACTTGCAGTTTTCAAATTACTGTAAATCAGCTCCAACCTGTAAAGTTTAATAATTTTAGTTTAATTTTAAGTAAAAGATGTTTTAATTTATATAAAGCAAGCAAGACGTTTATCAAGCTATTTAAAGTGACTGATTTGGAAGATTATTGCTATGATCATAATTTGTGTCAGTTTTAGAAAATTAAAGTGTATTCTTTGAGTAGTACTACGTGATATGCAATAAGAAAGGTAGATGGTTTTGATATATTTGAAGTCTAATTAAAATGGCATATTTAAGGAATTATTGTGGTCGTCACAGCCATCTTTTGTATTTAATTTTTTTTTCACATTAGCACCTGCCAAGTGGCATTCCCCCAACCAAAGTGGACACTATGGTCGCGGATGAGCTCAGCTTGAATATTTGAAATATTTTTGATTAATTAACAATGACTTACAAGTATTTTTGCTAAAAATGCCCATCTCAAATATAAAACTTAGATTATATTACTGGGAAAATAATGCTTCACAAGCTTGGGTTGAAAGCGTTTTGTAAAAGGTGTTGACAAAATGTGTCCCAAAGGAAATGCTTGACACTTCTGACAAATTAGATGGGTTTCAACAATCCCTGAAGGTCTAAATTGTAATGTTTTGTTAAAAGTGATGATACATCTTGATGCCATGAAGAGAAACACCCTTCTTTTTCCAATTTTGAGTGAACCCAAACTAGCAACAATGAGTAATCTGGCTGAGGGAAGTGAGCAAAGTACAGCTCACCCTAATATATCAGATTGTGGCAACCATAGCCAATGTTCTTCTGAAACAAGGATGACCTTTTCTTAAGAGAATGAGGTCAGTCTACTGGGCACACACTTCTGATGATCTAAGAAATAGAAAGGGGAAAAAAAATCTATTTTTGAAATCACAATGCCAAAACGTCAAACAGGAAAATGGGCAGGAATGAACAAGAAGAAGAACCATGAAAACTACTCTCTGTTTTATTATTGAATTCCTATATCTTAATGGGACCTGGGGTGCTTTGTGAGAAACAATGCCTTCAGCTAGAGATTAACACACACAAACATATTCAAATGCACACACAGACTTTTAATTGACAGATGCAGGAACTTTTCCTTCCGTAGTCAAGAGTGAGCTTACGAATTTGTGCCAGGGAGGTGTGGGAGTAAAAGCTGCCATTCAACATGAAATGCTGTGAAGACAGCCAGCTCCTATAGGAAATCAAGACTCCATAGGATGCATTACTGCCACTTTTGCACTGCTCCTATTTAGCCCCAACTCTGCTCAGCCCTGCTCAGATCAGTCTGATTTGCACTGCATTTCAGGATGGTTTCTGGAGGCACGTCCAGAATCCAAAATCCTACTAATGAACTTTTAATGAACTTTAGTTCACCATTAAGAGTGAGAGTTCTGCGATGAGTTAAACTCAAAGCAGTCTGCTCCTCAGATAAATAATGTTAAATTATTGTTTTTAAATATGAATGTTTCTGCTATCTTATTTTCTGTTCAGTGCCCTGAGACGACTTCTGTTGTGACTTGGCACTATATAAATAAACTGAATTAAATCTGATGAACCAGGTCCTACAAAAACATTTATATTTAAAATTCCATATTTTTCTTCATCATTCGATGTATTTGCACTCATTTTTGATATGTGGGTTTGTTTCTTGTATACAGATTTTATTTTAGTGATTTAAGTGATGATTAGTGATCATTGTTATTTCTCACCTTACTGAATTTGTCTATAAAATAAGAAAGAAAACGTTGGCAATCCTCATTTGAAGAGATAGGAACAATCAAACAGTGATCAAACAGTGATTCAAAGTTTAATTCTTGTTTTGTGATTTGTACATCTGTGAGTTAGAATAAAGTTAAACCAAAAGCCCTCTTTAAACATATTTGAGGGAAATATTCCTGAGATCCAATAATTTTGTCTTTTTATGATTTTTCAGCTGAGTTAACTTTAATTAACAGATCATTTAATAAAGTCAAATTGAAAACAGGATTTAATTTCAGTGCAAATGGGGTATACATGGTACTCCCATGTTAGAAACGCCTCCTAAAAAACAAGCTAGCATTTCATTTGCTGCAAATGTTATTTATTTATTTACTTAACTTTTTTTAACAAGACAAATCCCATTTAGATCATAGAGCTCTTTAGCAAGGCCTGAAGGCAGTCTAACATGAAGGTTTTTGGACTGTGGGAGGTAACCAGAGTACCCTGAGAAAACCCATACAAACGCGAGGAGAACATGCAAACTCCATACAGAAAGACCCCAGGTCCAACCAGGGATCGAACCCAGGTCCTTATTGCTGCAAAGAAACAGTGCTAACCAATCCACCATCATGCTGCCCAATACGTCACCATAAATTAATTTTTATATTCATTATTTTAATTTTTTTGGGTAGAGCTGTTGCCTCTCAGCAAGAAGGTCGCTGGTTCAAATCCTGGCCCGGGACCTTTATGGGTGGAATTTGTAAGTTCTCTCCGTGCATGGGTGAGTTTTCTCTGGGTATTCTGGTTTCCTCCCAAAGACCAAAAACATGCATGTTAGGCTGACTTGTAACTCTAAATTGTCCCTAGGTGTGAGTGAGAGAGTGAATAGTTGTTTGTCTTGTTTGTGTCCCTGTGATGGACTGGAGACCTGCCCAGGGTGTCCCCTGCCTCTTGGACAGTGACGGCTGGACATGGGCACCAGTGACCAGACCACTGCAACCCAAAAAGGAAAAAACAGATAAAGATAGTGGATGGATGGCTAGATAGAGAACAAGCATCTGACTTTGAAAAGTAACCTCAACACACAGACCATTCTCTTCTATGAGAGTTTGACATTTAATGGCCACACAGTGACCGTTAGAAAAAGATATGTAGGCACAACTCCTGTCATGCTCCTAAATAGGCTCTTTGTTTATACACCAATTTGTTTGCATGACGTGTCTTATGCAGCATATTACGATAAGATAAGGAGAATGGAAAGGATATGAAGTCATATCTCTGAGTCATGCCAGCCTTTATGCTTGTTTCACACCAATATCTAATTGCAGAAGACCTTGTTGCAGAGTCACTCAAACACCAGCCTATCGCTCTTGAACTGCCATGGCAAAGGGGGCTATCGTGACCAAACCACTTCCTGCCTGTGACATACACACAAACAAAGCCTGCAGTTCCATTGTGTCGGGTAAGGCAACTTGACGTATTCTTGTCTTGCACCTTTACTAAACCATTAAATGCATGAATAGGTGTCACAAAGGAAGTGAATGCATTGACTTTGGGGATTTCACGTTCATATAAAACCCACCTATACACCAGGAGCCTCAGGTACAAAGGGTGCTTACACACATAAATGTAGCATACGCCCGTTTTCATGCAAAACTTCAGATGTATCAAGAATGAAATGACTGTGAAAATGACTGCAGCCGCACGCCAACTTCATGGCTGATGTAACACATGTTTCTATGGTTATTGGTCCATTATCTACAATTAGAGGTGATACTGTTAATGATGTGAAATCTATTATTGGACACACCAAACACACATGATGAACAATTAATACATCCACATGTACGCAATTAGATGATAGATATAAGAGCATATGGTGAAGTGGTGCAGAAAATATCTTTAACAACAATGGGTTTAGCCTTAGGAAATAGCTAATGGTGTAATATGCAGAGACTGTGTAGAGACAGAGAGCATTGATGATGACTGGCTCATCAGCTGTTTTAGGCTTCCAAGGGCAATTCTTTTGGAACAGTGCTTGGAGCTGCAGCTGGTCTTGGAGCGTGATACAGCGAGGAGCCATGCGCTGTCCGTATACATACAACTGCTGACCACAATGGTGTTCTTAGTAACAGGGGCATTTCAGAGGGAGCTGGAAGACCAAGCAGGACTGTGCCAGTCAACCCTGATCCGAGCCATGTCAGCTGTGTGGGATGGAGTTATCCGTTTGTCAACCAGGTACATCAAATTCCTATTCATTGCAGTTGAACAGGCCAACTTTAAAGTGTAATTTGCAGCGACAACTGGTTTTCCAAAAGTAATCAGAGCTAGCGGCTGCACACAAATTGCTAGAAAGGCACCATCGCAGGAACAATAAGTTTATGTTAACGGGAAGCATTTTCATTCAATAAATGTGTTATATATGTGATGCGCAAAAGCAACTAACCAACATTGTGGCGAGGTGGCCTGGTTTAACGCACAATTCATTCATTCTAATGAACAGCATGGTTGGGAACAGACTACAAGCTGGCACGGTGTGGTGCAGGATGAGTGGCTTCTTGATGACTGAATGAATTTACCATAATCATCCTAATATTAATACCCCATGGAGACCGTACACCCCCACAAATCATACTGTCTTCACTATATCATTACTAGTCAATTTTCCAAGTAAGTGACTTCCTATGTTTTGCTGGTTACAGTTTCAGAGTGTTCTACCAAGCCACTGATTGTCTAGTAGTTATGTCAATAGCATTATTAACAACTAGGAACCATTCAGTGAGTGCCTTCACACCAGTGCACGTCAGAGGATTTAGGTGTAAATTTATTTCCAAAATTGGCAACAAACTAGCCCATTTATTTAAAAACGTGTGCCACATGCCTTATAGTAAATCAACAGAAATTTAAAAAATAACCACGTGTTAAAATTAATATATGCTTCATAATTTATTTACTTTTTATTTTTACTTTCGGAAAAAATAAAGTTGGACTCTGAATTTAACGGGAAGTGCCAGGTAAGACAGACAGGGAACTTCCTGTTGTAGTTCCTCCAATTGTTTGGGTCTCAGTCTGGAAACTATGACTCAAAACACCCATTTTTTCTATGTTTTCCTAAAAAAATCCCTCATGTATCAAACTCAGGTGACATAAATCAGAAATAACAAGAAAAGACGGTAGGGATTTAAAGCGGCAGTATATTTGTAAGAGACTAGCTAAAAACCCTGGTGTACTGTGTCACTGCATACAAATGCAGTAACTGGGGGAGACGAGAGATATTAGTCAGCAGACAACATAAAGTTAGAGTTTGAAATGGGATGAGGCTAGGTCCAGATTTTTTGTTAAAAATTTGAATTTTTGTATGTCAAACCAGTGACGTGCAGTCAGGGGAGGCAGGGGAGACCGTGCAACACCTGTCATCATGACAAGTAAAATACTAACAATGATAAAAGAAATATATTGGACAACTTGACTGTTCTATAAAACTGTTTTCTGAATTATTTCAACACATCAATGGCCAAAATCACAGAATTTATGCATTGCCTGTTCAAACAATGCTGGGTATGGCAGTGTAGTGCTGTGGCTCACCTCTGGTGGCGCTGTGCTATATACATTAAATAAAGTAGGTGGTTGGCGAATGCCCATTGCTGTCGCTCTTTAAATCGCCAATATACGTTTGATTACACATGTGTTGCACATGCTGATGTTCTACAGACTGTCTAATATAATGAATGAATGTGTGATATATTTCTTCTTTCTAATCGGCCATAAATGCACGCTGCAAACACACAGGGTGAGGCAGAAAGTACTGTGCCTCACCTATAGGGGGCAGTTCTGCCCCATAGGGACAATGAAGCAGGTGCAGTCGCTGTGCGTTCTTCTATTACACAGAGGGGCGGGGGTGTTGCAAAATGGTACTCATTTAAATTTGTTTAGACAAAACGGAAGAGCATATCTCAAAACTAAAGGATTTTTCTAAACTAGACTTTCAGTTGAAGCAGAAGGTATTAGAGAGGAAGAACAAAAAGGCTAAATTGAAATATAAGCTTATATTTTGGGTTCATATATGTGAGCATCCGATTCCAGGACAGTCAGTGCCTCACCTGTCATGACAAACCTCACCGCACATCACTGTGCCAAACGTGTGTACTGTCAATGAGAACAACTCTTTTTACAAATGTGTACAAGTTCTGACTAGACCATTAAATCATTTTGATCAGATTGCCATCTAAAATTCACTTCTAGCAAGGTACAAAACTCCTACAACATCCAAAACTTTAGAACAATAATACTTTGGATTGCATATATGAACACCCTGAAGTGTGAGCTTGATCTTTTCTTCTTTGGTTAAAAACAAATTGATAAAACGCGTGCAGCTGGCACCTGAAGATTTAAAGATGTCCACACCTTAGTACTTTGGGCTGGCACTTCTAAGCTGTGCAGGTTTTACAGCTCCTCTGTTATGCCTCCACTCACCTCCTGTCAGGTCTTTTCTGCTCTGCCGCTCACCAAGAGGCCAAAGCAGCCAAGCTAAAGTACTCACAGATGTGTGTTTCTACAAAGACTGGGTAAATCAGATGGGACGTCAAGGATTGTAAAAACTAACCTCATTGCTTTGATCGGCAGGGGTTTGACAGTGTGTGTGTGTGTGTGTGGGGGGGGGGGGGGGGGGGGGGTGAGTGTATGTGGATATGAATAATGTGTGCATTAAACTGTCTCTCTGCATGCAGGAAAGTTGTGGAATAGCTCAGTTGGGTTCAACCCACACTCATCCAGAGCCAAGATGTAGACAAGGCTTCTCTCTCCTGTCACTTCCCACCCATCCCTCTTCCTGCCAGATCTGCCTCTTCGGAGGTCAGGCTCACACACTCCTTGTTTTTCTGAAAACACAATTTTCTTACTTGTCAAGGCTGATGTTGTCCAGGAGTTACACCCAGCTGGAGAAGTCCTGATTTTTTTGGGAGTTGGAGACTTTTGTTGTGCTCAGATTTCTGCTCACAAATCCTTTCACAATCAAGCCGTTCGAGGACGCCATCATGCTGTGAGTGATTCTGTGTGGGGGGAGCCAAGTGCTCTGCCCAGGCGCCACAACTAAAGCCTTGCATAATTTTATGAATCTAAGTCTTTCCACATTCATGATTTAGGTCCAGTGTAAAGATAAGTGGTACTTGGGTTTTCTAAAAGAGTAAAGCTACCAAATAAAAAAGGTACTTTTACTTTTTTACTCCCCCTCTTATTCTCTTGACCCGTATTCAATTTTTCTTGGCTCCATGTAAGCTTAGCATAATGACGAGGGTTACGAATACTATCTGGAAACCACTGCATTGAAAAGTAGTGAGGAAAGTTGCAGAATGTGCTCTTACATCAGACACATAGAAACACACACTTGTGAGCGAGGGCCTGGCTCCCAGCAATGTGTTACTCATTATAATACTATCTTCACTCCACTGCCTAATGTATTTCTCATTTTCATTTAAACACAACAGGGAACAGTTAGAGATAAGGTTACCTAATCCTGAATATGTTCTAAATAGGCTTTGATTCATTTGTGTGTCACATGCAGACTCACTATGCAGTAGGCCACCAGGGCTCCCTGCACGAAACCTGCCAGGACGTCGGTCGGGTGATGCTTGTGGTCGGAGACCCGGGACAAGCCGGTGTAGAAGGCCATCATCAACAAGGTGAACTGGAGCAGCGGGCGGAGGAGACGAGCGCCATGCCAAGTAAACCTGGACTGGATGTAAAACTGTACACAAAAATGGGAAAAACAGTATTCAGTATGCTCAGTTGTATAAATGTTCATAAAACTCAAAACCAATGAAAACTACATTTTATACAGGTAAACTCCCAGACCCATTTCACATTTACACATAGTTAAACTGAAGGTGGTGTTATAGCCATTTAACAGTAGCATTTGTGTAAATGCTATGAAGCTGTACCGTACTTTCTGCTGTACACGTCGCACCGCCCTATAAGTCGCATCAGTTCAAATATGTCTGATAAAGTGGAAAAATCCATAAATATGTCGCTTCGCTGTATACGTCGCATCTATTATGCGTCACCACTGACGCGTCGCATTTGTTACATGTCACCACTGACGACTCGGAAATGTGGGCCGGTGTTGAGTCAAAAATCGATGGGCTGCCAAATGGCGGCTGCGGGAGCGTGCACGGGAGGACTTCAACAAGAATTTAACAAGATTACCACTTAAAAACAATTATTTGTTTGTTTGAAATTACAGTAAAGGTGTGTCTCAGTCTAACTTTTGCTTAATAAATGCATTTTGACAATCAAATCAGCTGCATTTTCAAAAGCCGATACGCGGAAACATGAACGCGCAGAGGGCAACTCGGTGTCCATTTCTTCGAAATTTAACAAGATAACCACCTAAAAACAATTATTTGTTAGCTTGACATTATAGTAAAAGTGTGTCTCAGTTGAACTTTTACTTAATAAATGCACTATGGCGGTCAAATCAACTGCATTTCGCCGGGGCGGCGCAGCGAAATGAAGCTGATTTGGTTGCTTCAGGCAGCCGACAGTGGCAGCCTATGGCAAGCCGATTGTGTCATTAATAGCCACTTTTACCTATTACATGATACAACGACATGCCTTACTATTCGAGTGCCATCTCATGACTGAAAATGGTAGCGTTTAATTTTTTCAGTCAGAACGAATGAAAACGGTCATATCTCAGCCAAAAACTGGTTTATAAATATGTGAAAAAAATCCATAAATACGTTGCTTCGGCCTATAAGTCACAGGGCATGCAAATTATGCAAAAAAATTGCGACTTATACAGTAAAAAATACGGTAATATCTTTCCTGGACAAACAGAGTTTACTCCCGACAAGACTAATGAGCTAGTTTGAATGCAGCCAAGTTCAAAGGGGATTACTGTCATTTTTAAACAGGTCTAATCTCAACAGGTCCATGGCAGTTCATGATAAAACTATTCTAAAAACCAATAACTTTCAGTCAGGTCCTCTGGACAGTTCCTTTTTTTTTGTGTTGAAAAAAGAGAAACCGAAAAAAGAAAAAAAGAAACTGTCCAGATGACCTGACTGAAAATTGCTGGATTGTATACCTGGATTATTGAGCATGGACTTTGTTGACTATTCTACAAACCTTTATAGTGTAGTCAGTTTCACATGACATGGTTATTTACATATCAGTTACACTGTGGTTTGATCCAAGCTCAAATAGGAGCAACAGCAGTTGGCAGTAGCACTTCCAGTGCAGCTGGGGGTCAAATCCAGCTGGAATATTACACAGTTTTCTGCAGAAATTACACAGTAATGCAAAACTGATAGATATGCAGCCGTTTAAATAATAATGTGAAGAAATGTTTGATTGATATTAGCTCCTCAATATCAGTAGTAGTCTACGCAAAAAATGTTGTTTAAACTTTTACATGACTAGCAACACTTTTGGGGATAAATTTAATCAAATTCCTGGATGGATTTGACCCCATCTTGCCTCAGAAGTGTTACATCTTGCTGTTGTTGCTGCTATTTGTGCATCCAAATATTCATGAAATTATGTGTAAACAAAAAAACATGTATGGGACTTACCTCCTGCAAATAGCAAATTCTGCATAAACCATGATTACATGTTTGAGTAATCCACATTGACCTTGGCTGCAGTTGGACTAGCTTGTTAGTCCATCTATTCAATATACTGTATTTCCTCAAACTGACGTTGTAAAAAGAGTTTTTTACAACAGGCAAGATAGTACTTCATAACTGTTACACAGAATCTCAATTACAAATAGTTGGACTATCCCTTTTAGGAGCAAAAGCCTGCACCTGCTGTGTTTGTGTGTGTATTATTACTGTCTGAGAGAGGTCTAGACTAAATCAAAGCAGGAAAACGTGTCAGACTGACGGAGTGCCACATCATCCTCTACACATGATGAGACTCGACAGACTGGGTCCAGGACATGACTGATTAATGCTTCCACATCACAGTTACCAAAAAAAGCTAAGTAATAGGGAAGCACACATATGTACATACACAAATCTTTAAGCATGTTGACACTTTTTTGGACTAATCTTTCCACCCTTATCAGAGTAAACAGGAGAAAAAGGGGATGCAACCACCCCATTGCTGCCAAAGTCTTCTTTTGGGTCATAATAAAGATTTAGCATGCACAGAGGTGAGTTCAGTCCCGTTTCCTTGGTCTTCCTGTGTTTTTGCACCACTCATGCCCCTGACTTCCTGTCTCACACCCAGAAACACAAGGTCTGCAGAGTTCAACCTCTGCCCTAACCTCCATATTTATATGTCATATAATCTACCAAGCTAACTACATCTCCAAACAGCCACAGCACCACCCAACAATCTGAAGCTATGAGTTATTCGAGATGTGGAAGTAAATCTTTCACATATTTCCTCCATGGCATTAAATCATTGTTCTTCTCCTTACAGGAGTAGAGGAAGTGATCCCTCCCATCCCATTTTGTCTTGGTCTCTCTGGTAGGAATGTTTGGACTTCTGCCTTCCTTTACTGTGGCACTCTCAGATAGTGGGCAAGAACTGTACTTTTGTTAGTCCTTCAAACCCTTTGAACTCTCACATTTTGAAGAAAACTCTTCAATAATGACAAGCTAAATAAAATGGACTTGATCTTAGTCAAAACAAAGAGTTACCATGATCTGCTAGACTAGACTACGATATAACCTTATCTGAACTGAGAAAACCTAGATAACCCAGTCGAACGCTGATTCAGCAAAAGCTGCACGCCAAGCTATGGTGCTAAAATCCTGATAAGCGCCTGTGAGTATAACAGACCGTCTGACCAAAACCTCAAGTGTCCTTTTTAAACCCATCTCAGGCTTCTCTAGCCCCAGTCTTCCTCTCTAAATTTGTCTGTAACAATTAGATCTGAGAAACGAAACAATAGAACACTACAAAATAAGAGTCCAACATATTCCCATGGCACGAGAGCGACAAAAAGTCTGGTGGTTTCTAAAAGGAATCCATGTTCTCAGTTTGTCTATCCTGCTATGACCAAAAAATAAATGGCAGAAAACACAAACAAAACAACAAAAGGAGAATGAATGAGAAAGTAGAGTCATTAAAGATGCTATTCATTTCCATTTTTTTTTTGTGTTCACATCATGGCTGCGAGAAAAACAGTATGGCTGTGGTTAAGACTTATATTTCAAGTATAAACCACATCTTCTGCTATAGAAACTAACGTTACATGCGCATAAAAGATAACACGCGACGGTTGAATGTGCACACACGTCTGATCTCTGTGGTTGCGATATTTCTGCACACTGTACTGAGTGGTCCGTGCATGTTATCTGTGAGCCATTTCGAAACGTTACCATGCTACCAGGGCACAGCTCAGACCACATCAGTAGAGTCTGGATGTGCGCAACAGGAAATAAGGTGCTTCAGAATTGCAGTGTGCCAATTAGCAGATGACTGGGGAGGAAAGAGCGACTGCTTCAGTGTGTTGGTTTCATGCTGCTCAGCAAAAAGAGCAGATTCAAGGGAAATCTGTCTTCTGTACTTGTGACAACAGTTGTGTTTTTTTAATTGGGGACAAAACAAGTTTCTTGATAATGTGTTTCTTACTGAGCTGAATGCAACATCTGTGGTTTATATAAAATGGACTTCCCCCGGTCATATTAAATGATTTGTAACAAAGTCAAAACCAGTTAGCTTAGCTATAAGTTTCGAGGTGAGGAAGAAAATCCTGGACTTTGAGGAAACATTTTGAAGTTTAATGTTAGCCTGTTTCTTGGATGGGAGCAAGAACATCTATAAGTTTTCACTTGTTACCTGAGAAATACTCAGTGAGTTATTGCCAATAAAATGGCAAAATATCACTATTATACTTTAGCTTTGGAGCAATTTGTAACACATTTTGCTGACTCCCAGACTGTGAAGAGGACCTCACTGCCAACAGAATCACACTGCTAATAGTATCATGCTTCTAAAAGAACCACACTGCTAACAGGACCATGTTGCTAAGAAAATTTCACTGCCAACAGAACCACTCTGCTAATAGGACCATGCTGCTGCAGATGTATTTCTTTTTCACTTTTGGCACCTTGCTTTTGTATTTTTATTGCATGCCTTGGGATTTCTTGTTTTGTTGTTGTTGTTGGTTTTTTTTGGCGAGTTGAGACGGTTCGTTCTGACTGAGCATTTCATTGCATTGACCTTGTGTTGATTCTGCATATGACAAATAAACCTAACCTAACCTGACTGATGATCTTTGGAGACACTAGTAGTTAGCAAAGCTGAGTGTTTACATTTTCTTTCATAGAGAAAATGTAGTACTGTAATAATTAAATGTAAAATACTTGTATAGTTTTTTTTTATTAATATTTAAGCTGATTGAGACTGACCTTGCATTACATAACAAACACAAGATTATATTATAAAAAAAAAGACTTAAAAAGTTGGAGTGAAAACATAATATGTATCTGGTTTTCAGCTGGCACAAGCAAAAACTGCAGCCTGTTCCTGTTTCCACAAGGAATGTCTTTCCTATTGGCTTTGCTTCTGGCTGGTTTTGTACTGAAACATCCTCTAGAACTGCTCTGCCTCTTCAGCTGCTCTCCATTCTCTTGTTTGAACAAACTTTTTCTGGCCGCAGTCCTGAGTTGGCCACAGCCGGAGCATTAGTCTCTGAACTGAGTGTCATGCTGTGGCCTAGAAGCAGCACATCTCTGTTTCCTCTGCTGTTTTCTCCTGTCATTTGATTTAGCTTGTTTCCTTGCGCTGACCAGAGTGTGGTTATAGGTTCACCAAAAGGCTGGGAAATGCCCACAAAAAACTCTAAGCATGGCCCTACGTCACAATACACCAGAACCTCAGCTGTCTTTCTGTTGTGAGAACCAAGACCACGCTGTAACCAAGACAGCCAAACACAAAACAGTGTTACTGCACATCAGCTGCAACTTCAGTGTTGTGTGAAAATAGTCACACGCCTAATTTTTCCATTCTTTTCTTTATAGAATGCAAAGTAACTTCAAAACTTGTATAATCATGGGAAGAGGAGGAGATGATGGGAGGTCAGTGTGTAAGGTGGCACTTGTTTGTGTGTGCAAATAAACTGAAGCATGACCTGTCTCTGGGGAGCTAAGCCCCTCCAAACACCTGCAACAGGAGAAGTGAAATGGAGAGAACAGGAAGTGAACATGACAGCTGCTCTGAAGTAAACAGATGTAGTGAACCCACTCATCTCTCAAAGGCTTAAAAATGAGTCTAAAACTGAGTAAGGAGATAGTTCAAAAACAATGCTCTTCCTTGAACCAGTGAATGATCTAATGACAGCCCAGCCTTCTTTCCATGAATGCTGTTACAAACAGAAGGCCATTGTCTCTGTGATTGTCTGCATGTGTCAGTCTGTGTGACTGGAAGTGTGGGGAAGAAAGTAATGATTACTCACAGCCAGGTAGAGCATAGTATACAGGGAAAAGGAGGCGTGTCCTGAGAAGAAGGATTTCCTGTGGAAATAAATTATGTTTGATCCACTGTTTTGAATTTAAATTTTTAACCCATAGAAAATGGCTTATTTGTATGTTGATTTCACGAACCTGGCTTCCTGAACATCACTGTCCTCACCAGTGCAGGTGTAGTTGGTGATGTAACCCAGAGAACAGTTGATGGTGGAGAAATTCGGCCTGCACACATCTAAGAAGTGGGGTCTCATGCGACCCACTGACACCTTGGCGATGTCTGTAAATGACTGGCTCACGGCACAGCCGAAGAGGAACACCCCTATCTGTAGAATGACACAGACAGATTAGACAAAAAAAGTAACGCACATGCTGATCATTTGCTCAACCTACTCCCTTTTAGAGTTTCTACAGCTGTCAGGATTTAGATTTCCATGCAGTGCAACTAATGGTAACAGATTCACAAAACTAAATTAGTTTTGTATCTGTGATCTATAATGGTGGTAGCCAAAATGTTGATACTGTGGAGAAGTCTATGCTGCTAAATTCTTTAAGTAGAACATAACTCTTTGCTGAATGTTGAATGTTCTTAGATGCCTCTTTTGTATAAGAGTATGTGAAAGGAGGTTAAATATACACGTAATTGCTTTGAATTATTCTAACTTTAAATAAAGGTAAAAACTGAGACCAAAAGGTCAGGATCCTCATCAAGATGGCAATCAAGCTAAAAAATATGAATTACCGTAAAATATCAAAGATGAGTTCTAAGTCCCTTTTTGTTTGCTCTGATGGACCGACTAACAGATGAGGTCAGGCAGGGATCCCCATGGACTATGATGTTTGCGTTGTTGTGGTGAGAACAGGGAACAGGTGGAAGAAAACTTGTAAGGAGATGGAGGTATGCACTTGAAAGAAGAGGAATGAAAGTCAGTCCTAGTAAGAGTACATGTGTGTGAATTAGAGGGAGGCTGGAGGAACAGTGAGGCTAAGGAGCAGAGGTCACAAAGGTGCAGGACTTCAAGTACTTGGGGTCCACTGTCCAGAAACATGCTAGTGTAGTAAAGAGGTGAAGAGAGTCCAGGCAGGATCAAGTACTGAGTAAATGCAAAAATGTTTCAGAAGTTATTTGTAACAAAAGGGTGGCAGCAGAGGTTAAAGAAAAGGTTTACAAGTGAGTAGTGTGACCAGCTATGTTGTATAATCTGGAGACAGTTGAACTGGTGAAAAAGACAGGAGACAAAACTTGAGGTGGCAGAGCTGAAGATGTTGAGGTTCTCCTTAGGAGTGACAAGGATGGATAAGATTAGGAATGAGATCATCAGAGGTACAACACAGGTTGAACAACTGGGAGATAAAGTTAGAGAGGCCAGACTGAGATGGTTTGGACATGTCCAGAGGAGGGACAGTGGGTATGTTGGTAGAAGGATGTTGGGAATGCATCTGCCAGGAAAAACACAAAGAGAAGATATATGGATGCAGTTAGAGAGGACATGGAAGTAGATGGAGTGAGGACAGAGGATGCACAGGACAGAAAGAGGTGGAGGAGGATGACTTGCTGTGACAGCACTTGAAAAGGGAACAGTCTAAATAAGAAGGAGAACATTTGCAAAGAATGATGAAGTGTTTGTGTTAGAAAAACACAATTTTGTTTATATTTGGAAATTAAGGCAGATGTTTCTGGCTAATCCTTAAAAAACATTATTAGGACTTAATATAAGTCACACTTTTCAATCAAGACCCCTAAAGTGTATGGTGGTGCATTTTTCTGCAGAGACACAACTTCTTCCTTTTTGTCTTTCAGCTGCTCCTTCTACAGCGACTCCTGCAGAGATACAACTTTGATTGCATTTTCCATTTTTTGTCTTTTCTGCATGTTTAGGAAATGTCTCAGGATCGTTGTAAAAATATTGTGTACACACCAGCAGTGTGCAAGTTGTAGACAAAAAGTATTTGTTTATATAGTTGTTTCTTTCCAACCTCTTTTTATGTCTTTGTACGGTATATAT